TTCTCCAAGTTGTCGCCCAATACCGGGCTGCCCACATTCAAATCATGTTCGACTGATCATCCAGATATAACTGGGCAGGCTTTTCCGATCTCTGCCTCTCAGATTCCTGTCTTTGCAGGTGCTGTCTCGGCGACGTTTGCCTCCCGGCCCTTGTCTCAGAATGCTGTGCGCCGGGCTGCTGACCTCTTGGCCGTTGTCTTCCAGATTGGCTTCCCTCGTATCGAAGGGCCTGCAGGCGTTGTTCCGCAGCGTGCTGCTCCTCATTCTCTCTGGACTGCTGCTGCGATGTCATCGTGCCAGTCTCAAGTCTGGACCGAAGAGGGCGTGGTGACAGTGCCACCAGGGGCACATCCGCATCATCGAAGCTAGAGCCGGCGCTTCTTTCAGCTTCCAACCTAGGACTCGGTATGGCCGGACTTTGAATGCCAATCGGCAAGAACATGTAACTTCCAAATGCATTCATCTTGAGAACTTCCATCAGCGGCGCAGCGGCGGGAGGAGGCTGAACTACTCCTGAGAGGAGCTGGCCCGCAGAGTACGGCCATCCGTACATCTTGTCATTCGCACCCTTCCGTTCAGCCATCACTGAGCCTTCCAGAGAAATCCCAGCAAAGAATCCCTTGGCTTTTGAGTAGCTGTAGATGGCCGCGGCACCTCGTCGATTGGCAGCTCCAGCAGCCTCTGCTGTGCGTCCGAAGGGACCGGCAGCCAGCGACAGACTGCCTCCGAAGCTCAGGGATCCTGCTTGAGAAAAGGTCTTGACTGCGTCGGAGCTGTTGAGAACAAAGACAAAATCGACAAGTTCAAGACCGATTTGACTTCCTATGCCGGTGCCGGCAAGGGCGACGGCGGACGGAGCGCTCCATAAACCATTCGGCAGACGGGCAACGACAACTCCACTACCAAATCTGCCCGATCCAAAGAGGCCGGCTTTGAATACAGTGATGACTGCGAGACCCTGTCGAAAGATTTGTGTAAGCGGCGCTGCCCGAAGGTCCGATTGAAAAGGATACCCACCTTAGCTGAAGACAACACTTTGGCTGGAATGACTCTGTCGGGGCCGAAACGCCTGGCATCAACAAAGGATGTCAAAATCTTTGCACACTTCTTGCACTCAGCTGGGTGTTGTCAGTGTTTGTACATATAATGTTTGAATCTGAACTTACCCTCCATAGATGAAGGAAGTGGGTTGTGGAAGCCCATGATGATTGAGACTTCAAGCTCGATGCGTCAGAAAAGGATAGTTACAGTGTTGTTGGCAGTGATGCATTCAATTTCTTTGCTTTAAGCCTGATTTTTGTTGCAGACTGCCGAGTCTTTGCCATATTTGTAGTAGATCTGGCTGTCCAGCTGTTTCAATGCCGCCCTCATGAATCGACTTCCACTTCGGACATCTGGAGGTTGCCCTCACTGGGAAATCAGAAGCGACCCAGACTCATCCAGGCCGGCCGCGTACATCATCACGACTCGATTTCCTTTTTCGAGGTTTTCCCCTCCGTTCATTGGACTCAGCCTCCACGAATCTTCACATGCATTGACATCTGCCGTTAAAGGGTCCAACGAACGTACATGCCGTTGACGTGCATCTGTCTGTGTGTTGATAGCCACACCTACCAAACGGGTAATGAACCGGTTTGAGAACATGAGATGAAGCCAAAACCAGAGTATTCTCAAGTTCATCCGTAAGCGCTGATAGGCCAGCGTGCCCTGCGGGGAAAGAGACTGCGAAACGTCAATCACGTAAAGAAGGAATTAGACTCTGGAGCCCTCCGAGGCGCAGAGACGCAAAGGGCATTTTGCGGCTGAGCTGGAGACGTTGCCGAAAGCGGCTTGTAAGTCGCGATGACAACTGCCACACCACATCTGTGGCTCCCACCGGCATCTGAGAGACTTTGATCCATGCCGTGGGGAACACCGGTCAATGTCCAGCTGAAAGCCTGTTATGAACGAATCAGATCTCATAATGATAAGATCGTGGCCCTGGGATGTGGAGGCTGTCTACTGACAGTCTGTCAACCATTGAGTCATTGTTCACGAAGATACTTTCCGTGATGGCAGTGCTCTCGGCAGGTACGGATCATCGTTTTCGTGTTTCTAGACGCGGAGATAATATCTGATTAACAAGGGGCTTTGGAGATGAGAAATCATTCACATGTGGTTTTGATGATATTAATCTAGATGTCATTATCACACTCAATCTGGGATGGGTGTTGTCGCCAAGTCCCTCATCTTTCATCTCTTCCTGATCCCTCTCAACATGTTCAGCGCATTTAGCCAGTCAACTGCCAGTCTAGAGAGCCGGGTCGCAAGTCGGCGGCAATATCGTCGGTCAGCTTTGCTACCGGCTGCTCTCAGCATTGTTTCTTTCTCTTTGACGTTGGTTCTTGTCCTCTCTGGTCGGCAGGCTGATCAGGCGAGCGACGTATACTTCCTCTCGGTATGTTTTGTGAATGGAACAGCCATTTTAGCTTGCTCTTACATAGCGTTTAGATAAGTTTGACATCGTTGAACCAATCCGGCACAACCTCTCGAGTGGTTCAGGCCCCTGTTCAACACCACGCACTTGCGGGCCGCTCACCTGACCCCGATCCCTCACCAACAATACCAAATCCCTTGGAAATTTTAGAGAACCCAATAGGCGCTCTTCAAGGAGTTGCATCTTCTATACCAAATCCGTTGGTTGTTCTCGAGAATCCGGCAGCCCTGGCGAGCCTAATTCCGAATCCAGCCCAGATTGTTGGGAGCCTTGAGTCTGCTGTTCCAGCAGCTGCGGGTGCCATTGGTAGTCTGCTGGGAAACATCACGCACGGGATCGAAGGCGAAATTCAAGTTATCGAAAAGGCCTTCATAGATGAGATCAGCTCCATCATTGGCATCAAGAATCAGTACACCTTCTATGTCGCAAATGTTTGCATGGGGATGCCCCTAAACGAGTCGTCGAGAGGAGCATCCGGGCCCATGTCTGCATGTCCTCGATACAGCGAACAAGGAGTTGGTAAGACACGAGGCCTACAATGATGACGTGTCTTAAGAGGAAATCTTTGCTGATTAGACTTAGGAGTTGAGGATCTCGTCTCCAAAATCCCAACGAAGATCCCCCTAGGAGTGGCGAACATTACCATACCATTCTCTGGGCAAATTGCCGACATCTTCGGCTCCTTCGACGACATTCTCTCGGCACTCGGAAACATTCTTTTTGCATTCTACATAATAGCCCTTGTCGGAAACGCATTACTTATCATCAGCTCAATTTCGGGAGTGGTTTTCAGATCCAGTAAGCTGAACATGCTGGCGAACATTCTCGTCTCACTTTTTGCGACTGGATCCCAGATAAGCATAGGTGTAATCACCGTCACCTTGGTTCTCGCTGTTGGTGGTACGATTGGAATGTTAGGGAGGAACTTGGGCATTCATGTCGAATATGGCGCAAAGGCTTTGGCGTTTATCATTCTCAGTACCTTGTTTACTGGTGCCGCGGGGATTTACTGGTTTGCCATTGCCTTCAAGATTCTCTTCGCAATACTCAATCATCAACGCCAAGAACTGATGGAGAGAGCCGCGAAGACTGAGAAGATACGGGTAGGAATGGTAGTCTAAGAAGACGATTGAAGGAGGCTATCGTCAGAGCCTGGAGCCTGACCATACTCGGGCACAATTAGGGAGCCAATTCCACCTATGCTTGATGTTTTCGTCTTTCCCTCCCGATGGTGGCCAATGCTTGACCGCAATCCTAATTTCATAGAGCGGGAGCTAACGGGACGGGAACCACTCGGGAGCCCTACGGGAGCTAGGCGAGTCCTGTGGTGGTGGTGCATGTCTCGGTATTGTGTGCGGGGATTCCGCGTGTCAGCTAAGGCCGGACACGTTGCTATGAGCCACCAAATTGGCATCGTCCGAGAGGTCTACCGTAGAGCTGAGCTGGCAAATGAAACTTGAAGTCGCAGGCGTGGCAGGTATGTAGGCAATACCAGTCCACGTCCATCCATGCCTGTTGGCCGGGTGCCATGATGTTTTCGGTCAGAGAACCCCTCGACTTGAAAATTCTGCCAAGGTCAGCTGGAAACTTAGCTGTTTCTCGTGTCCAATAGCAGGCCTTTGAATACCAAGCAGGCTGACATTGCGACCGTTTTCTGCCGTCGAGTGAGACATGCATTCCATGACATTCAGGGTCTGACATCTGCAGCCGGCCTAGAACCAAGAGTGGCCATATTTTCAATGAGCTTACGGTGTTCATTTCGCTCACAGCGCAATAGCCTTTCTGAAAACATATTTCGAGCTGTTTGGAGAAGATAGAAAGGTTCGGAGGCAAGAAGCCGGTTGTATTCAGCTCGCGGGTAGATTGTTTGGATGCCGGTTGCAGGACAAGGCGTATTCCTACCACGTTTGGCTCGCGCCAGGATGCCTGCCCCCATGCTCCCATGCCGCCCAAAAACTCTGAAGTTGAGACATGGATAGTACCTTCCCTATTGTCCATGCTCTTTTCTGCGGCGCAATGGCAATACTTCTACTGCTGATTTTCGAGTGAGATCTAGTCAGATTGCGATAGTTGATCATTAATGGCCTGCAGGGTTTAGAGTGTTCGATCGTCGATGTGAAATCACCTGAAGAGGCGGAAAAGCTGGTGGTACCTACGCATAGTAGTGGTATGTTGATCAGAAGTATAGTTTCAGGAGTTGCGAGGTCTCAGCACAGGCATTGATGAAGCAGTTGGCTGTTCATTTTCGTTGCATCTGGCCAGCTCTACGCCACGGCGTTCAGCCTGTCTTATATCAGCCCATATGCTGAAGCCATCACTGTCGCCTCCATGCATACATGCATTTTCCATTCCAAGACTGGGTTGGTTGTCAGCTTCTACGCAGACTCGACCATGATAATTCGGTCAACAATGCCGACTGCTGCCTTCTACATAAAGGTGCACCTCCGGTCCAGCTGGGTTTGCTTTTCTTTCCTTACCCTTTCTTATCACATCTTCATCCCATCATCACTATACATACTTTACCATGAAGCAATTCACTGCCCCCGCTGTCTCCATCAGCCTCCCGCCAGGCTTCACCTTCTCTGAATCGGCGCACTTTCAAGAGGGTGCGGTTCCCAACGTCAACGGTAAATCCGCGTCCAACGGTACCAATGGACACAGCACCAAGGGTACCAACGGTCACAACGGTGTTGCTGACCTGAAACCCCCGGTATCCACCCTGGAAACCCCTGACTTGGAGGTCCTCCGCCATTTTAAGGGAACATTCAAAGGACTTGGTTTCAACACGATCTTCCGCCCAAACAACACCAAGGCTGGTATCAGTGAATTGCACGTTCCGCCTCAAGGCAAAGATGCTGGTGTTACGGACAATATCTTGCAGTTGAATCTGACGGCAGAGACTCAGGTCTTTTCCACGCCTCTCTCCAGTGATGGGAACGGAGCGGTACCCAACCGTGGCTTGGACGATCAACAAGACATCGGACTTGATGGAATCTCATACGTGCAAACAATCATCGATTTGACGGAGATCAAGAATGAAACCGGCCAGCCCGTCATTCATTTCGAGCCTGGTCTCTGGATGCGCGTCCCCAAGACGGAGGACCCGGCCCTTCCTGCATCTTACGCACGCATGGGATCTATTCCTCATGGGACTACAATCAATGCCCAGTGCTTTGATGAAGCAGTCACCACAGATGGGGCACCTACTATCGGTAAAGTGAGCATGATCCCATTTATTATCGGGACAGTCCAGGCAGGGAGCAACCTACAACACTTCGACAGCATGAAAGCCAAGGACGATGCCACGCACCGCCTCCCCCAGAATCTGGACCTCTTCGTCAAAAACGGCAGCATCACTCAGGCTATGATCGACAACCCTAACATCATCTTGGGTGAGGTCAATGAGAAAAAGAATATCATCAAATCCACCACTTTCACTGTGTCGACTGATTCAAAGGCCGGCGGGGGCACGAGCAACATTGGTTTCCTGGTTGCTGGTAAGGGCACCACTAATGGACCGCCCAGCAACGCGGATGCAGTGAGCATGAAGGCGACTTACTGGGTTTCGACTGTGAGAGCTGAGGTTGAACTCAAGTTGGGGCAGTCGGGGACTGTCTCACCGGCAGCCCATGGCCAGCACGATGGAGTCCCTACATTCGTTGTGGAGGAGAAGATCACTACGGGAAGAACCGTGACTGTCGAGTACACTCAGATCCAGTACTCTCAGACTGTCATGCTCAACTTTGCTGGCCTCTCTTGGCCTCACATTAGCGTTGCCACTCTTGCTCCGACTGACATCCCTCTCAAGGATGCGATTGTGCGTTAGAGTAACTGGTAATAGCATGATCAGACAGGTCACAGGAGTACACCCGGCATAGGGATAGACGTTGAGACTATGTGGTGCAACTTGGAATGAGCGAAAAGAATGAGGGAGAGTGTTTGAGATAGCTTTCAGTAGAAAAGAAATACGAATGTGTTTCGGGAGACCTTCTAGAGTAATGGAAGTACCTAGTTTACTCGGACGATTGAGCATCTGTCAATTTCATTCTCATTTGTTGTCGGTCATGAAGCATCGCAGCACGCCCCGGGGCCTCATCGCGACACATTCATGGGAAGGCCAGTAAATCGAATGCCTACTTCAAGGAAATAACTTCTGATCTGTTGATATAGCAATCTCACTGTCCCGCAACAAGCAATGGCACAAGAGCAACATTCGTTGCCTTTCGAACATCAAGCTTCTCATGAGTTCTGTGCCCCCTCTGCCCGCAGTGACCGTATGAGGGATCTCAGCCACCAAAATCTGAGTGGCGTCGACTATAGAGGCTAGTGCCGAGCGATGGTCCTCATCGCCGACCCGGCACACGCGGCAGGTGGGCGGAACCGCTCGGCCACGGGTGCGACGCTCGGTCCCGAAACATTGTGGCCGTCTCACCAGCGACCGCTCAACCGTCAGAACCGGGTCCGGTCTTTGGCAAATTTCCATGTATGACCCGACTTCATGATAAAAGTCCATGTCCGGATGTGAAGATGTCTTCAAATCAATACGCGGTTATAAATGCCACCGACGCCTGGTCTCTTTTGCGTCTTGTTCTCTCGCATCATCAAACTCAACACACGCACCGAGTCACGACGTTCTTTGGTTACGAGCATTCTCAAACCTTACTACTACCAGTAGCAAAGCCATCATGAGTTCTTCACCATCATCACGCATCATAATCGTGGGCGGCGGCCTAGGCGGTCTCGCCCTTGCTCAAAGCCTCAAGAGCGCCAACCCTCCGATCCCATTCCACGTCTTCGAGCGAGATACTTCGGCGGCTTTCCGAACCCAGGGCTACCGCATCCGCATCTCCCCTGATGGAGCCGCTGCTCTCCAGAAACTTCTCCCCGGCCACCTCTGGCAGGCCTTCGAAGCAACCTCCGCTCCGATGCAGCCAGGGTTCAGCCGAATGGATGCGAAGACGGGCGCGCCCACCGAGTGGGCAACGCCTCTTCCCGGCCCGCCTCCCAAGACCGGGGCTGGACGACAGGGATTCCAGGATGGCAAGGCGTACAATGTTGACCGCGCGGTTCTCCGCAGCATTCTGCTGGAAGGCTTGGAAGAGCATATTTCATTTGGGAAGAAGTTTCACAGCTACATCACGAATTCTGAAGGCGAGATTGAAGTTACCTTTGGTGATGGAACCAAGGAGACAGGCAGCCTCCTTGTCGGCGCGGACGGCACTCGCTCGGCTATCCGACGACAGCTATTGCCCAACTTCACCGTGTTGGACACTGAAGGTCGAGCCGTGTTTGGAAAGACCTTTAGAACACCAGAGTTGGCGTCTGCTGTGCCTGCCGAGATTGTCGGCGGCATGTCACTTACTGGAGAGTCCAGCGAGAGCCCGGTGAAGCTCTTTGGCGACAACATGGTGTTCGACAAGACCCTAGACTCGGTCATGAGGACGAAATACCACATTCCATCTGATTACGTCTACTGGGTCTTGTGCTTCCGCGAGGACGTAGTGCCAACAAAGTCTGAGGAGCTTTTGAGATTCGACCATGCCCAATCGGCTCAACAGGCACAATCCATGGCATCGCCGTGGCACTCGTCGATACGTACGCTGATCGAAAAGCAAGATGTGGAGTCCGCATCTACCCTTGCTTTCCATACGACCTCTGAGGAGCTTTTCACATCGTCTTGGAGCGAGTTCATCAACTCTGCTGAGGACACGCATCCAATGGTCACATTGCTTGGAGATGCAGCTCATCCCATGTCACCTGTCGGAGGCGTTGGTGCGAACTCCGCCTTTCAAGACGCTGCCGACCTGTTCGGAGCGCTGGTTGAAATTTCCTCCGGCTCGAGGCGGACCCAAGACAAGATTGCGAGGTTGAAGGAGTACGAGCGATCGATGGTAGAGAGAGGCGTGGTCATGGTGAAGCGGAGCACTGGGGGCGCAGGACACATGTTCGCCATGAGACCTGTGGCGGAGCTCAAGCCGGTGACGCATTGAGATTCAGCTCGGCGCGTGGGGTCTCGTGAGGTAGCGTCAGTAAACATTTCTGTACATAGGGGCATCTTAGTCATTTGAATATCCAACACCCAAGTACTTCTTGGCCTCAAGCGAACAGATCCTGCGCCAATTGCGCATAACGTTGAAGAGACTCAAGGATGCATTGCCGAGAGAGACAGCTGGAGAGACAGTCCAGTGGCTCTGACTCAGAGACTCTCTCACGTGCGACTGGAAGTGATGACTAACAAAAGGAAAATTCGAAGGAATTTCCAGGCCCACTTATGAGAGAAAAATGAAATCATTCTGGGTCGGTGAAGAGCCTGTAACCTGACCGACAAGATTTTGAAGGCAAGCAAGGTAAGGCTCTCTTTGAGACTTGACGGTGAGAGACTGGGGGACAAGTTCGCGGATTATGTCGGGCAGGCCCTGAGTGGTTGGGGAGCAGCAGGATCCTGGTCGGTGCAGAGTGGTAGTGTCCCAGACCCCTGGGCCGGACAGGAGGACGGAAGCATGAAATTTTAGGTCGCCAATGGTGAGTCGAAGACTGGACGGCAATGTGCGACATAGGACGAGTTGTTGCTGAGCTCTTTTGCTCTCACGTTGGCTTCAAGAGGCTCTTCTTTCGTTGTGTGGTGTTATGTTGGCTCGTCGAGATCCATTTTCTCCGATTAGGATCGTGCCGGAGGAATCCCCTGGAATTTTGTGTTATTTTTAGGCCCATCGACCCCTCATTTGTGCTAAGACACAGATAAAATAGCGGCTGCACCCGCACACATCCAGACGGTCATCATGCCAGGCACTTCGTGATCAACGCATCAAGCATGTTTGGGCTCTTCCTAACCGCTCTCGCAGGCTCTTGCAGGCCGTTGCTATATGAAGCCAAGGCCGTCCGACCTCCCAGCTCCATAGTCACAAGTTTTCTGCCTCTGCCTCGGAGCAGATAAGGCGGGCAAAAGTGATTGATCAGCCACCCCGGAAGGCCGGCGAAGGTTCCGCCGAAAGAGCGGTGACGGGTCCCTCGACCCGCGCTGGAACCCCCAAGAAGCCCTTGTTTGCGCTGGGACAAGAAATGTCTGGTTGAAATCGCGGCGGGTGGGGATGAGCAGACTGATCACGACCATTGACATGAGAGCAGACGCATGGCGGTGGAGGTTGGGCATCATGTACACCGCGCATGATCCATTTTAGCGACGTGGCGGAAAAAAGAGCAACTGGCTGCCAACAGGGCCGGCCGCGGGTTGACGAGACCGCCCTTCTCTGCTGCCTCCCTGACCTGAATCCCTCGCGAGTCGCCCTGCCTCCCTCTCTGTCCAGTGCCCCCTGAGTCCCTCCCACATCGGTCAGTCGGTCGGTCCATCCAGCAGCCCCAGACATCGGCTGCGTGCTTTCTGGTTGGGCTCCTTGCATTGCATTGGCTCAATTCACGTCCGATTCCGACAGCTCACCTCTCTTTGCCCCCCAGTCATAGTCCCCGTCTCAGTCCAGTCTTGCTACAATGACCGATCATCCTTCTTTCTTTTCCCCGCCAGAGCTTCTGACCTCTCAAGCGGCACCTTGAACCATAAGATATCCCCTTCTTTGAATCCCCTCTCTTTCTTCTCTTCTTCCTTTTCCGTGGGATGTGGCAAGAGATGGTGATCGGGAACCGAGAATTTACGACTTTCAGGAGTAAGAGTACCAAGAGCACTAAGAGTGACTCGGGGAAGGACTCGGGAAACGGAGATGATGCGTCAGTAGGCACGCATGAGAGCTCGTATGAGCACCCTCTGGGTGAGTCGCCCAAACACCACCACCAGCGCACCACGAGATGGGAGATCCACGCCGATGGGCCTTTGGGGGCAACCAGGCTGTGACTCTTCTGTTGTTGTTCTGCCACGCGACAAATTGAAACGTGGTTCTTTTTGCTGACTTTCGAGACCATCAACAGCTCGCAAGGGCTACGACATTGGCCCCGCGTCGCGGCTGGAGATAGGCGATGTCTTCGAGTTCCTATGGGCCGACTCGCACGAGTTCGAATGGGAGTGGAAGTGCCTTGGATACACCCGCTTCATTGTCCTTCGACATAGCGACACGTTTCCGCACTATGTTATCTGCGTGTAAGCATCTTTCTTCTTCATCGTCGTCGTCGCTGCGTTGCGACTCACTCCGTTGTTTTTCTTCAATCATCTTACCCCTCCCTCCCAATCCTGTTCGCTAACCCGATCGGCTCCCCGAAAAAAGTCCCATCTCCACCCCCACCAAGAACGACTTCCAGAAGCCCGGAATCGACTCGAGCCAGCAGGGCTACGTTTTCGAAGAGAATGATCGGACGCCGCCTTTCGACAAATTGCCCTTCTCGCCGGTGGGCATGCAGCTGCGCCCGGGCAAGTTCCGCGTCAAGGAGAATTCGCGAGCCAATTACGCCGATGTCCTCGAGGTCGATCACGACGCGCAGGTCATGGTCGTCGGCGACGTTACCCGCTATTTCGACCGCGTGCGGAGGAATGTCAACAAAGCCGTCATGCGCAACGTTCTGAAGAGGGCGTTGGAGCAGTACCGCCAGGGCAAGCTGGTCAGCAAGAAGGGTGCAAAATTGGAGGCGAGTGTGATAAATGGTGGTCCCGATGACGACGACGACGAGCCAGACTACGACCTCGAAGGCGAAAGCGAGCGGGAGAGGACATCTCCTGTTCCGGAGATGACTTACCACGTCAACGAGTCCTTCGTGGGATCGAGGAGGTCACTCGTCGAACCCCAGCCGCGGAGGGATTCATATGCCGACGCCGCGCGGAGGGAATCGTATCATCAAGCGCAGTCTCAACCTCGTCATGTCCCCAACGCCGAACCCGTTCCGCCT